TCTAAAGGAAAGGAAGCAGCTTTTATGGAGCCTCTGCAATGCTTTCAAACATCACCGCATCTGCTCTCCAGAGTTCTGTGGACTTTTTATCCCCATTGTACAGATGAAGAAATCAAAGCTCAGGGAGTTACGTGGCTTGTCCAAAGTCACTGGGAATTGACTCTTTTTTTCTTTTTTAAGAGAAAGGATCTTGCTCTCTTGCTCTGTTGCCCAAGCTGGAGTGCATTGGCATGATCATGGCTCACTTAGCTTCAATCTCCTGGGCTCAAGGGATCTCTTGCCTCAGCCTCTCAAGTAGCTGAGAGCACAGTCACACACCAGTATGCCTGGCTAATTTTTAAACATTTCTTTTTGTAGAAGTGGGGTCTCGCTACATTGTCCAGTCTAGTCTGAAATTCCTGCCCGCAAGTGATCTCCCTCCTTGGCCTCCCAATGCGCTGATATTACAGGCAAGAACCACCCCGCCCGGCCTGAATTCACTTTCATGGAACTCCAGAGCTCTTAATCTTTCCATTGCATTAGTGTAAGCCAAGTGAAATTTAAGATTATAGCCAAAAGAGCAGATTGTCCAGAACAAGAGAGGTGATCATCTTGCCGTGTGATGTGGTGATCAGACCTCACATGGGTGTATGACCTTAACAGTACTGCCTCATGTTGACTGACCTGTTCCTGGCCACCAGGCCCAGCAATAAATCTGTTTTCATGTTTCAGATCATTCAATCCTCCTAACAACTGTAAGGGATGAGTACTATCAACATTACGTCCCCATTTGACAGCAGGGTAGACTGAGGCCCAGAGAGGGGATGTGATTCAGCCAATGTCACACAGCCTGGATCCCGTTTCAGGATGATTCCAGAATGTACTCCCTGGCCTCACCAGAGCAGGTCACTAGGTAGACGAAGATCCAGAAACGATATCCCACAGAGAGTAGCTGAAGGAATAAAAGATGTTCAGCCTGGGAAGGAAGAGGCTCAGGGAGATCTTGATGGAAAGTAAAGGGCTGGGATGAGGACGAGGGAGTGGTCCTATTCTGTGGGGCTCCTGAGGCCCCAGCCTGGCCCAAGGGACAGGGGACAACAAGCAGGCTTTGACTCTTCAAAGCTTCCCCACCTGTAAACTGGCCACAGGCACCCTCAAATGGTGATTAAATGAGATAATACATCAAGCACCTGCTCAGTAAATGCTCACCAATAAATGATGCACTCCAGTGCTGATGGCTTCATGCCTGGCATGGTACTGGCAAGAGACCCTCAATTTTTTTTTAATTTTTATTTTTGAGATGGAGTCTCACTCTGTCACCCAGGCTGGAGTGCAATGGCACGATCTCACCTCACTGCAACCTCCGTCTCCCAGATTCAAGCGATTCTCCTGCCTCAGCCTCCTCTGTAGCTGGGATTACAGGTGCCCACCACCACGCCCGGTTAATTTTTGTATTTTTAGTAGACACGGGGTTTCACCGTGTTGGCCAGGCTGGTCTCGAACCCTCAACCTCAAGTGATCCTCCCGCCTCAGCTTCCCAAAGTGCTGGGGTTACAGGCGTGCCCTCAATTTCAGCCCTAGTGAAAGGCTAGGGTCTATGACTCTCTGTGACTGTCAACTAAGACTCTAATCTGACTCACTGGGGTTCCAGTTCTGGCTCTGCCACTTGCTGCGTGGCCTCTTCTGGGCATTTCCCTCGCTGAGCCTCACTCTCCGTCCAGCGATGCCTGCCCCGATGCACATCCCGGAGCAGGTGCCCAACAGAACGTCAGCTCCCTCCAACCTCTATGGACCAGACGCTCAGGGAAAGAGGGCAGCTGCCTGGGCACATAGGGCTGAGGGAAAGCATGGCAGAGGCCTGGAACAGCTTTTTGCTCTACCTTGGGTGCCTGAGGGGCATGTGGTACCTGCTCCATCATCCAGGGGGCTGGCAGCCCCCCGGACACAGAAGGATAAGGCTGGCTGGTTGTGTTCAGAGCCATGACAGCAGCAATGCCGCCTCCCACCCATGCACAGACCACCCAGAAGGATGGATTCCTGTGGGGGATGAGGACAAGGGGTTGATGGTATGGTCATCAGAAACAAGTTCTGTTCTTCTCTGTCCCTTACTAAGCAGGTCTCTCTTCACCTCTGTAAGCCTCAGTCCTCACCCATGAAATGGGGCTAAAATACTATCTCACAGGCCAGGTGGTCCAAGGGAATTCATAGGAACAATTGACCTATTAATAGGTGCTCATTTAAATCTGGCTTCTCCTCTTTCCTGGAAACATACCTATCTAGGATGAAGAAGTGTTGAGGTTGAAAATTAAAAGTTCACATTGATTGGGCACCTCGCCCCGGCAGGCCATGGGATGCAGCGTTTTGTTTTTAAGTATTTCATTTGGTCCTCAGCTCCTGGAGGAGTCTGAAGCTGGGAGGTCAAGGCACAGGAACCAGGGGCTAAGGGTGGGATTTGAGCCCAGGGCCTGTCCAGCTCCAGGGCACCGTGCGGTGGTGGTTATGGCCAGGGGCTTAGGAGTCAGAGGTGTGGGACTGAAACCCAGTCTGCTCATTTCCTACAGGCATGTTAGTTACTTAACCCATCGGTGCCACAGTTTCCTCCTCTGTAAAATGGAAGCAACAGCACCTACTTTATGAGATTGCCGTGAGGATCCGAGGCCATGATGTCCGAAGCATTTAGCCCAATGCCTGGCACACAGCCTGTGTTCAAGCAACGGTGGCTTTTGTTATTCACTAATCTGGCCCCTAAACAGAACACCCAGGAAATAAGACGATGCATTCGGGGAGATGAACTAGTGAAAATGAAAACTCTCTGCAGAGGGTGGGTCTGCCTCCTGCCGTTTCCCCTGACCTCCCCCCGCCCCGGAGCTCCGGGTCAGCCTGGTGGCCTGTAGCCAGCACAGGTGGCCCCTCATTTCCTTAGAGGGCATGCTCCACTGGCGGCCCGTGGGACAGTGGTGGCAGGGACATCCGGCCTCAGTCAAATGGTTCATGCTCCAGGGCCTGGCCCTGGCCACAGCAGGGAAATGAAGGGGTTTCTTGGGCCACCGCAGACATAGGGACTTACTGTGGTGACCATGCAAAGAGGCCTCAGTTCCCCGAGCAGTCACTGGGCCCTCAAGAGCCACCAGCCCCAAGTCTAGGGGACGAGGGAGAGGAGCGAGAACAGGGTAAGCAATAGCTTTGAGTCACCCCTAGTTCAAAAGGAGGCAAAGGCAGCAGGTTGGGGAAGGTTAGATAAAATAACAGTGGGAGAGGAGGAGCTTGGAAGTCAGGGGCCCAGTGGAGCAGGTGGCGAGGAGCATGGGCTACGGGCACCCACAGACCCGAGTGCAAGCCCCAGCCTTCATCCTAACCAGCTGCATGAGCTTGCGCTAATTATCCCGCCTCCGACCTCCATGGGTCCTGCCACAGTTACCTGGTAAGGTCACCGCCAAGGCTCTAAGCAACCAGGTAGGTAAAGCATTTAGTAATTAGCCAAGTCTGTCTCAGTGTGATCTTGAGCAAGTCACACCAACGGTTCAAACCCATTCACAGCCTGCCAGTCCCATGACTATAAATGCAGTTGCCACCCTTCCCTTCTGTACTCCAGCCTAGGGCACTCTGGGTATTGCCTATTGTCCCTGGAGGTGTCACTGTGGTTTACAAAACAGCCCCTTTTACATCATGGGCAGGTGGGGACAGGCCAGGTCACACATTTCCGCCCCTCCACAAGTCACCTGGCCTGCATGGCGGCCCACAGCCCTGGGCTCAAGCTAACTGGCCACAGTGGCTCCTCTCAGTCATCATTTGGCCAGCTGAGTGTCTTTCCAAGACAGCTCAGCACTAGCCGTGGACATCTGGGTGAAGGAGAGAGAACAGACTGGAATCAGACAGACCAGGGTTTATGTCTCAGCACTACCATACCCCCAGGAAGTCCCCTGACCTCTGTACCTAAATTTCCTTCTCTCCAAAATGGGAATGTGGCAGAATTTCCTTCCGAAGGCTGTTGTAAGGAAACATACCCTGGGCCTTCGGCACACATATTCATCAGGGTCCTCCAGAGACACAGGAGCAAGACAGAGGTTTTAAGAATTGGCTCATGCGATTATGGAGGCTTACTAAGTCCAAAATCTGCACGGCAGCCCAGCAGGCTGGAGGCCCGGGGAAGAGCTGCAGCAATTCAGTGCGAGGGTAATCTGCTGGCAGAATTCCTTCCTGCGTGGAGAGCTCCTGCTTCACTCTATTAAGACCCTCAGCTGATGAGACCACGTCCACCCACAGGATGAAGGGTCATCTGCCTTGCTTTTTACTTTTAAAACTCCACTGGTTTAAATGTTAATCTCATCCAAATACACCTTCACAGAAACACCCAGAATGTTTGACCGAATACCTGCCACCATGCCCAGCCAAATTGACACATAAAATTAACCATCACAACACAGGATAATGGTTCTTACAATGAAAATGGGTAACGGGTAACTTTTTTTTTTTTTTTTTTTTTTTTGAGGCAGAGTCTTGCTTTGTCCCCCAGGCTGGAGTGCAGTGGCGTGATCTCAGCTCACCACAACCTCTGCTTCCCAGGTTCAAGTGACTCTCCTGCCTCAGCCTCCCCAAGTAGCTGGGATTACAGGTGCATACCGCCATGCCTGTTTTTTTTTTTTATTTTTAGTAGAGATAGGGTTTCACCATGTTGGCCAGGCTGGTCTCAAACTCCAGGCCTCAAGTGATCCGCCCATCTCAGCCTCCCATAGTGCTGGCATTACAGGCATCAGCCACCACACCCAGCCTTATGGGTAATATTTTTGAATCATTATGTGTCTGGCACTATTCTAAGCATGTGTATATATTAACTCATTCAATTCTCATGATGACCCATGGCAGGGGGAGGGGGCGCTTACCCCATCTTATGGATGAAGGGATAGAAGGTCAGAGAGGTCAGAGAGCACTGTGCCCGTGACCGGCTGACACACTGGCAATGCCATCAGATTTAAAAGATGTTGGCTGCCACCACCATCCCCTCCAGAAAGACCATCAACCTCTTTGATTAAGTAACAGGTATTTTATTGGGTGGCATCAGAGCAAATCCCATTGCCACCTCACAGTGTAGAACCAGTAGAATGGAGAACACTCCAGCCTGTGTCCCCCCAGCCACCTGCCCTGGCCCCTCATGGGAAATGACACAGATCCTGGAAGGACACAGAACCCACAACCAGCCCAGGTGGCACCGGTACCCACCCCCATCCATGAGCCGGTGGCACTTGGGGAACGGCCACACCAGCTCCAGGGGGGGTCCCATGCAGGCATCCTGGAGGAAGTCCCAACACTTTCACAGTGCCCTAAAAACCGTCCTTGAAAGTCATGCTTTATGGATCCCTGACCACTCAGAATCCAAGCAGCAGGCATCTGTAGAAGGAATCGTGGTCACATATTGGCTGTGTCAAAAAAAGAATGGGCCAGTGAGGGACTGGTCCACACAGAGCCACTCCCACGCAGAGGAGGAGGATTCTACAGGCAACGTCCTCAGCCCAGGCTGAGGAACCCAAGGCCAGGCCTCTGGGGACTGGGAGAAGGGAGGGGCAATGTCTGCCTCGGCCTGTGTCACCATGGCATGGTGGTGGCTGAGCTCCTGCAGGGAAATCCCAGACCCTGAGACTGGCTCTAGGAGTGGAGGTCTCTGGAGGTAGGGCCTGAGGATCCGAGGGAAGGCTGACATAGGACGAAGGCCCATCCAGGGTTTTCCAGAATCATGGCCCATCCCATGCCTTGGCAGGTGGCCTCCAGCGGCCCCCCAGCCCCGCCATGTGGCGCAGACCAGGAATCACATGGGCCTCGGCCAAACACAGGCAGCTGGAGAAAGGCATGCCGGCATCTAAGGTGTATGGCTGGGTACAGGGGCCTACTGGCCCAGGTGGGTCTGGGCAAAGATACAGTGAGGAAGGTAGACAGCCCAGACCAGAGAGGGTAAGGCCAGCTGGTGCCCCCTGTGCCCCACAGGTCAACCTGAGTTACACTTTACTCTGGACACCTGGAGGGGCAGGGATCAAGGCCAGGAGCCTCTGTGAGTGGTGAGGTTTGCCAAGGGGCCCAGCATGGTCTCCATTTCCCCAAAGAATCCCGAGAGCCGCTCCATCTCCTTCCCCCGGGTCCCTGAGCCACTGGGCCCAGTGGAGGGGACAGAGAGAACCTGCCAGGCACCACCACCATACCTCCCACATGGCCAGTGGGATAAGGGGTAGTGGCCCTGTTCCTCCCCAGCACGGTCTCAAACCAGAGCCTGAGGCGTGGGAGAGGCCAGAATACGGTGGTAGGAAGGAGGTCAAGCCTGGATTCTAGAAAGGCAGCTGTGCATGAAGAAGGGGTGGAGGGGCTGGAGCGGGGTCTGTGCAGTGAGGTCGGCTGCCTGGACAGACAGACAGCAGGACGGTGGAGTCCGAGCAGGGCTCACTGCATGTACGCGTAGCTCCAGTCCCCCAGGGGCTTATGTGTCTCCTTGATGACCTGGGGCGACGTCCAGCGGAGGATGTAGTGTGGGCCCCCTGGCTTGTCATTGGTTCCTGCAGAAAAGACACTTCTGTTTTTCTCCGAAAAGACACAACAGCCTGGACAGAAGGGGAAGGGAGGAGATGATGGAATCAACGGGCCAGCGGCGCGGGCGGATAGCAGGGGCTTGCTGCCAAGCTTGGGGCATGCAGAAGAGCCAGAGGGATGGACAGGAGCCCCTGTCTCCAGTCTCCAGTCTGCGGGGAAGCCTCCATTGTTCTCTCCACATCGCACCCAGCCTGGCATCCTTGCTGGGATGCTACCATGTCTAAGAGGCAGGGTGCAGCATGGAGAGGGCACTGGACTGAGAGGCAGGGACCTGGCACGGTCCTGGGGTGCCATAAGAAGTACATGTCTAGCCTTCATCCCTGGTTCCTAGCCAGAGCTCCTAAAGCTCTTGGAATTTCCTGAGTGATGGGGGTTATTCATAACAAGCCCCTTCTAATCACACGAGTTTATGCTAATGAGGGCTCTTGCAGGATGGCGCTGATTGGCAAAGGAACCAACCCTGTGATTAGAGGCTTGGAACCTTCAGCCCAGGGAGGGCAGAGAGGTTGGAGGTTGAGTCGACCCCGATGGCCGATGATTGAATCAATCATGCCTGTGTAATGAAGCCTCCATAAAAACCTAAAAGGACAGGGTCAGGAGACCTTCCAGATTGGTGAACACGTCCACGTGCCAAGGGGGTGGCACAGCCCCGAACTCCAGAGTAACGGAGGTACCCATGCTGGGGACCCTTCCAGTCTTTGCCCTATGTGTCTGCGCGTCTGGCTGTTCATCTGTATCCTTTAAAATCCCCTCTGCAATACACGGGTAATAGTAAGTATGCTTCCCCTGGGTTCCGTAAGCCGTTCTAACAAAGTATCAACACTGAAGTGGGAACTTCTGATGTGTCGCCAAGTCAGACAAGGTGTGGCTAACCTGGGGTCCCAGTACTCGCGACTGGCATCTGAAGTTGGGGAGTCAGTCTTATGGGACTGAGTTCTTAACCTATGGGGTCTGCACTAACCCCAGGCAGTTAGCATCAAGTTAAACTGTAGGACGCCCAGCCAGCGTCCACCAAGAACTGGAGAACTGGTTGGTATGGGAAACCCCAGCACGCCAGGGTTCAGCCCTGGCTCTGCCACTCAGGAGCAGTCACCTTTGGCAAGCCGTTGCTCCTTCTGAGCCTCAGTTTCCCACTGTGAAGTAGAGCTGGTTGGACTTAAGGGACACTGGCTACGGTGCAGGAAACACGGTTGCTGGAACCAAAGTTACAACCCCACCAGGGCCATGTGGCCTCGAGCCTCAGTTTCCTCCTCTGTAAAATGGGAAGAATAGTCCCTTTGCTCACAAGTGCGCTGAAAGGACCCCGAGCTAGCGTACTTGCTTGGCCCACAATCAGCGCTCAGTAAATGGTATCCTTCCTGTTACTCTGAAGCCCCTCGAGACGCAGCACTGAGGGTCTCCCACCAGGAACTCAGCTCCCCTGTGGGAAGGGGGACCCACTCACCAGAGGCTCGGGCCCCCCCGAAGGGCTGCTGGCCCACCACCGAGCCGGTGGACTTGTCGTTGATGTAGAAGTTGCCGGCAGCATTCCTTAGCACCTTTGTGGCCTCCTGCACGACGTCCCTACAAAGCAGGGCAGTGGTGACAGAGCAACCAGCTCATCTGCCCTCCAGCCCCAGCTCCAGCCTCAACACCCCTGTTCCAGCCCACACTGGCTTTCCAGGTTCAGCACGAGGCCGAGTCGGGGATGAGGGATGCTGGCCAGCTGTTGGCTGTGGGCCTTCAGTCAGGTTACCCAGTCTCTGAGCCCAGCTTCCTCCTCTGGGGAGGGGCTTGGCACACCTCATGGCAGGGCTACTGCCAAGTTCAAGGGAGTGGCCTGTCCTGGTCCAATGTTCCTGTCCCTCAGGAGCAGGGGGCCCTCTAGCTCCCAGGCCCCCACCCTTCCTCCCTCTCCAAGTTCACCTCCACTCGCTCACAGAGGCAGACACGGGGGCAACCAGTGACGTGGAGGAAAGAAGAGGCGAAGCCTCAAGTTTAGCCTTATGGGACCCAGGTTCGAATCCTGCCTCTGCAGCCCCTGGCCTGCCCTGCTCTGCAGCATGGGACAATCGCCTCGCTCAGTGTGGCCCCACCAGATCCTGCAGAGCCGGTCAAAGGCACCAATTCCTGGCCCTGCCCCTAGAGGTTCAGATTCACTGGTCCCCAGTGGCACCCTGGCACTGGCACCACCAGCACTGGCAACAAAGAGCCTGCTGCTGTGGGCCCATGTGGGGAGCCCTGGCTGCCTGCCTGGGCTGAGGGGAGGGGACAGAGAGAAGGTAGTGGCGGCATTATTACTGGGAGCCACGTCCAGGAGGTGGGGATGGGACAAGGGCCGACAGGGACAGGACACCCAGAGCACAGCACCAGGGCTGCGGCCTGGCCACTCACTTATCCTGGGAGAACACTGCCCCCGTGAGGCCATAACTGGTGGTGCTGTCAACCAGCTGCAGTGTCTCCTTGTACTTGTCATCCGGGTAGACGTACACAGTCAGTACAGGCCCGAAGATCTCCTAGGAGAGATGCCCCAGTGTCAGGCCCTCCACGGGACCAGGGCCCTGAGCCCTCCCAGTGCCCCTGCTCTGAATCCCCTCTCCCCAGTCTCTGGGCCTCAGTCTACACTTCGGTGTCTGCAAGAAGGGTCAGATGCCACCTCCTCCTGGGTTCCCTCCAGGACAGCAACGTGCCCAGCTCCCTGCCCTGTCCATCTCACCGCAAGCCGGCAAAAAATGCAAACATTTCCTGGCTCTCCCTGCCAAACCCACACCCGGAGAACAAAGGGTCCAGGTCCCAGAGGCTTCCAGCAGCAGCTGGCATGAGAGTTGCCCAGAGATACCATTCCCTCCAGAAGGGTTCATGGTTCCCTCTGCTACCAAGGGGCTGGGGGAAGATCTTCACAGGCAGACTCCAGCCCTGCACTGCCAACTTGGACAAGTGCCTTGACCTCAGTTTCTCATCTGTAAAATGGGAACAGTAACAACCACCTCATCTCAGCCAAGTGCTCAGCCACGGCTGGCCCCACAGTAAGTCTATCAATGTCAGCCATTATGACTGCGGTGGCCGTGGCTGCTGTGGGTCGTGGAAGTGCTCAGACCCAGCCAGAGCCAAGGACACTGCCCTGGATTTGGAGTCAGGCAGCCTGAGCTCAAAACCTGGTTCCACCCTCTCCTGGTAGGAGGCATTCCCTTTTAGGGTCTCCCTTTAGGGCCTCATCTGTGAAACAGGAGAATGTCTCCAGGAGAACTGTGTGTGTGCTGTGCTCCGGTGGGACTGTCCTCCTCTGGACCCCAGGCTGCCCGCCCCAGTCACCTCCTTCATGATGGGCTCCTGAGGGTCCTTGCTTTCCACGATGCAGGGTTCCACAAAGTAGCCCACGGAGTCATCACACTTGCCCCCGGCCAGGATGGTGAGGCTGGGCGAGGAGCGCGCGTGCTCCAGCCACTTCTTGATACGGGCAAAGGACTGGGGTGGGCAGGGAGGGAGGTCAAAGAGGCTGGGAAGGCATCCCTGCGGCAGCCCCCACAACACACTCACCCCGAAAAACCTGCCCCTGAAGGGCCCAACTCCTGAAATAGGGGCAGGGGCGGGGGACACCAAGGGCAAAAGCCAGGGTCTGGCTGAGCCACAGCAGAGACAAGGACGGACACGCACACTATGTGTGTCCACACGCATGTGTACGTGTGTTAGTACTACAGGGGCACTCCCGTATAAACAGACACACATCAATCAATGCATATATAGGCATATGCATGGTCACATGTCTCTTGAAGCATATAAGGATCTGTATGCCTTCTACATGTACATGCGTGCGGCTGGACTTACTGACATACGCATGTGTGTACTTATGTGCAAATGGATGTGCAAAAAGACCTACATGTGTAGCCACCCAGAGCCCTATATGAACACATTCATGAGCACATGTGTACATGCACACATGCAAATGCTATTAGGAGCTCGCTGAGCCTGGTTCCAGGGTGGCCACGAGATGAGCTCTTCTTGGCTACGGCTGATTCTACCCTTTCTGAAACTGGAGGTGTATGTGCGGCTGCTGAGCTGCCTTGATCAAAGCAGTGGGGCTGGGTCATGCCCCGGGTCAGGGTCCCCCATATCTCTTCCTCCCTCTCCCACCCACTCCAGGGCTTGCCCCCCTCCCCGCCCCAGGAATGCCCACTTCCCACCCCGTACCTTGGCATCAATCACTGCAGAGAAGAAGGTCCCAAAATCCTCTGCAGGCTGGAGGCATGGGAGACGCCAGAAGAGATGAGCCGCTGCAGGCCGAGACAAAGGGAGCCCCTCCCCACACACCCCAGCCCTGGCTGCAGAGGAGCCTCCCGGGGACCCAATCCCATCAGCCCCCCGCTGGGCCGCGGCGGGGGTGACGGTGCCACTCACGTCGCCCACTTTGATCCGACCGTGCTCCTCCAGCAGCCGCCCTTTGATCTGCGGCCACAGCGAGTGTGGCACGTAGAGACGCGAGCAAGCGGAACACTTCTGACCGCCGTACTCGAAGGCTGAGCGCAGGGTCCCGCTCACCACACTGTCCACGTCGGCCGAGCAGTGCACAAAGTGGAAGTTCTTTCCGCCGCACTCTACAGGGGCCGGAGATGGGGAAATGACCAGGGGAGCCGGCTCCCCCAGCTGCCTAGGGACCCAAAGCACCACCTATGCCGTCCATGGCCCGGGACCAACACGAGCACAGAGTAGACCAGAGCAGGAGCAGGCTCAGAGCGAGCGCTGGCCAACATCCCAGAGGGCCAGGCCTATTCTCCCACTCCACAGACGAGGAAACTGAGGCCCAGGGAGGGGTGAAGGGCATCAGAGGTGATCAGGTCCAACAGCCCCATTACACCAATGGGAAGACTGAAACTACCCAACACAATGGCAGACGACAGATGAGAACCCAAGGCCCCCGAAAGCCAGTCCATTCCCAGAAGTGGGCACAGCTTTTTGTGAGGTTCTCCTGAGCCCTTGTCCACGAGGGACAGGGGAGCCCACCCCATGTCGGCTGCCAGGGCTGGGCCCCTCCTCCTCACCCATGCTGGAAACCACTCCCCCGTTTCCCCAGTGGGAGGGAGCTTCAGGCAGGTCACTTCACCCTCCTGGCCTCAGTTTCCTCCCCACGTGGGAAGCAGCAGCTAATAGCAGCTGGAAGCACTTAACAGCTGCCCAACTCTGGACGAAGTACTCTACACTTTATCCGACCGAAGCCTCGCAACAACCTCCCATTACTATCCCCAATTTCAAGCCAAGAAAACTGAGGCACAGAGAGACAAAGTCACCTGCTCCAAGTTGGAGAGTGTAACCAGCCGCCTCTCTCCCTCAGGGAGGCAGGGAAGGAGGCTCTGAGAGCAGAAAGCCACACAGCTGACCCTGAGGAGCGTTCACCTTCCCTGACACCCCCATCTGAGCTCCCACCAGTCCAGGAACAGGGTCCAGACTCCCCGGTGGGCCCTACTTCACCCCACAGAGAAACATGCTGAACCACCAGTCCCAGCTCTGCTGGTCACGTGCTAGCTGCAGCTCTTCCTCCCTCTATGTCTCAGCACATTCCCAAAATGTGCTCCACAAAACACTTGGTCCATGGGGTCTTTGCAGAAATGGGGTTCCATGGCCCAGTGAGTGTGGGAAATACTGCATGGCAGACCTTGCCCTTGAAGATGTGCCATGCATATTAGAGCAATCAAGGCTCTGAGAAGTTCTGCACGGGAGGAGTCCACTTTGCTTTAAAACCACACATGCCAAATTCCTTTGACCATGAAACGGTTTCTTTGTGGGAAAATTTTAATATGCCAACAAGGTCCAGCCATGACTACCTCTCAGCCCGTATTCTCCTACCAGCCTTCCTCCCTCCCTACTCACGGGCTTTGCTTTGTTTCTTCAAATACAAGTTCATTCCCACTTCTGGTATCTGCATTTGCACTTGCCTCAGCTTAGAGCTGCACTGCCCGACACAGCAGCCACCAGCCATGAGTGGCTACTAAGATTTAACTTAATTAAAATGAAAGAAAACTAGATACGCAGTTCCTCAGTCACACAGGCCACCCTTCAAGGACTCCATGGCCTCGTGTGGCTGGTGGCTGCGTATTGGAGAGTGAAGGTCCTGGACGCATCCCTCATCACAAAAAGTTCCATTGGGCAGTGCTGGTGCCTGAAATGGTTCATCCACCTGACTCGTGGCTGGATCCCCTCTACCTCCCTCCTCTTTCATAATGGCCAGGGGAGGGGTCCTTGGGGCCACAGGGGAGGAGGAGGTGAGGCAGGCCTTACCTCCAGCCAGGCGTGGGAAGGTGCGGAACCGGTCCAGGTTCTGGGCTACCTGCTTCCACAGGTGTTTGAAGGTGCTGGAACCACAGGAGAAAGGGTGGAGATCAGGGAGCCAGGCCAGAGGAAGGGGGCAGAAAAGCCCAGGGAGGAACACTGTGGGGAGCAGCCCAGCAGGAGGTGGGAGCCAAGTCGGGGATGGCAGCTGGGAACAGGCTGCATTCCAAGACTACAGGGAGGGGGCAACAGGGGGCTAGGCAGCAAGATGGTGCAGAGGAGGTCCACGCTGAGCCAGGAGGACACTCAGCACTGTGTGATCCTGGGTTCATTACTTAACCTCTCTGAGCCTCGAATTCTGCACCTCATCTGGGAAGCAGGGAGAACAATCCTGACCTGGCAGGGTTGTTTTGTGATGAGTTCAAGTGTGAGGCAAGTGCTTAAGACATGCTGGGCACACTGCAGGTATCTCGAAGGGGACAGATCCCGCTGTGGTCTGCGAAGGATCCCCGCCAAGCCCAGCGCCCAGGCCTGAAAGGCCAAACCAAGCAGAGTCCTGGGAGAGGGAGCTCAGGCCCCACCCGAAGCTGCCACCCTGGAGGGCCTCGCCTCCTCCCCAGGCTCCAAGTGTGACCAACCTCAGCACCACAAAACAATAAAAATGCTAATCACCCGGGAGCCAGCGACACAGTAGCTAATACTAATTTATGGCCTTCCCACCTTTAAGCCCGCTGCTCATCAGAGCGTGGAGAATGGGGGCCAGGCCCGCTCCACCCGCTGATAGGCGGGGAGCCCAGGGGCCCGTGGCTGCCGGAGCAGGCCTTTTGGAAAACGGCCCTTGTCAGCAGTTCTAACGCTGCCACCACCCACCCCCACCCCCGGCAAAGCTGCAGGGAAGGGGGTGGCAGAGCTTGGGGCCTGGAAGAGGAGGTAAGAAGGACCCCAAGCTGCAGACCCAGGTCTCTGGCTGCCTCCAGGCATGTCCACTCAGATAACACCTGAAGTGACCAACACGAGATTCATCTTCCCCTGAGCCCGCTCGCCCTCCCAGGTGCCCATCTTGAACATTCTCGCTGATTACCCCCCTCATCCCCACACCCACACCCACCCCAACCCCAACTCCAGGACAGGCAATGGGCCCTGTGCTTCCCTGCATCCTACTCACCTCAACCTGCCCCCTTCTCCACATCCCCCGTCTCTCCCCTGCTTCAAGCCCCCCCCACCCCTCCCTGGAGGTTGACAGCTCCTGGCTAGTCTCCTGCGTCAGGCCACAGAGAAATCATTGAGGATGAGGGTGCAAACACAGGGACCCATAGGAGTCAGCAGGGAAAGGAAACAGGGTGGATCAGGTATGCAGAGAGCCACAGCGCACCCACTCCAGCCAGTGGTACCACCAGGAAATGCAAGATCAGAGCATCCAGATCCAGGGCACCAAGACAGGCCAAGATTTGGATTTATCTGTGAAATTGTCCCAATTATACAAACTTGGGCCATCACTGTTAGGAGTCAAAAAAAGTAGAGCCTCTTGCCAGAAACAATTTGGGGGCCATGACTTGCAATCTCTGCTGACACAGAACTCTGACTCAGCCACTCTCCCTGCTTGATACCTTCCATGGCTCCCATCACCTTCAGGATAAAGGCCAGACACCTTTGCAGACTCCTAAGTATCTTATGGTCACCAGACTAACCACCCCCCACTGCCACCTCCAGCCTGAGAGCTGGGACCTTGTCCCTGGTGTGTGTTCACCACTGGGCCTTAGTGTGAGCTCCAAATTACCTGCTCAGCCAGTGAGTGCATGCACGGTCGAGATCAGGTAGCAGCCTGCCTCCCCTACCTCAACTCGAACCATGCCCCGCCCTCACTGTCTTGCCCTGTCGCCCCCAAACTCCACACTCCAGCCACACAGGATCCGGCCATGCCCCAGAACACATGTTTTTGCCTTGACGACATCGTATGTGCTGTTCCCTCTCCCAACATATATATTCTTCTCCTGCCTCTTCCCCTCTGCCTGGCCAACTCCTCTGCTTAGATGCCACCTCCTCAAGAAGCCTTCCTGACTCCTCCAATTCATTCTATGCTCCCCTGTGTCCTCCCCAGTAGCAGAGGTAGCACTGAAATCAATATCACCCACAGCCGTAGGGTGCACTTCCAGCCTGCGAAGCTCTTTCCTGTTCATTAACACGTTTAATCCTTGCAATGACTCTGCAAATTAAGGATAATCACTCCGTGTACAGATGAAGAAATGGAAGCTCAGAGAGGTGAAGTGGCTCACTCACAGCCACACAGCAAGTAAAGGAGTAGGGTCAGTGTATGACCCTGGGTTCACAGACAGCAGGTGACCGGGGTTGCCTGTGAACGTCCCCTAGCCACCCCAGCCTACAGCATCCCCAGGGACTTACGGCACACTGCCTGTGAAGTTGATGCCACAGAGGTGCTCTGAGCTGGTGACAGTGTCCCCAAATAGAGGCCCATCCGCTGGCACAAACTGGATGATGTTGGGGGGCAGGCCGGCCTCCCGGAGGACGCGGTAGACGGCATAGCTGGCCAGCATGGCGGTGTCACTGGGCTTCCACAGGACCACGTTGCCCTGCACGGGAGGTGTTCTGGTGATGCATGAGGATGGCGCCACCAGCCCTCAACCCCCACCCCCACCCTACAGCATGGTCGTCCCTCACCTGGAACCACCAGACCCTGTGCCAACCAGGACATCCCCTACCGGACCCCACTCCTCCAAGGCGTCTGGCCCCGTCTCCAAAAGTCCCTGCCAAGGAGACCACGGCACGGCCCGATCTACCCCATGCTCCAGCCAAGGCTCCCTTTCCCCAGCAGCCTGCACCAACCAGTCCTGCCATCACCTGGGCAGGTCTGTTCTTTGTGCTAGTCGCTGAGTGCTCACTGGGCGCGGCGGGGCAAGTGTACACGGGCTCTCTCAGCACACATCCTGGGCCAGGCATGTGCAGCAGCCAGGCACGTGGATGCCTGGCCATGCACCGTGTTTGTCTGTGCACAGATGCATGAGGATGTTCCCACGCATGTCCCTAGTACACACCCCGGCATCAGCATTCAGCGCCCCTGTCTGGGGCTCGGGGTTCCCGATGACTATGTGGACCTCTCCCGCCCAGGCTGTCTGGGAGCTGGGCTGAGTCTCCCCCATAGGCCAGGGACTTCATCCAGTAACAGCCACCCTCACTCCGATAATGGCAGAGGAGTGACTTGAATACCATCAACCCCAAGAGAGACTCTACATCCAAATCCTTCTCTGCTCCATCATTTATTTACTAGTCACTCAGTCTTGCCAAGTAAGTCACGGCTGCGTGTCTCAGTTTTGTCATCTGGCAAAGAGGCAGAGTCACAACTCCCTCTCGGAGCTGCTGAGAGGATGAAATGAGATCATCCCCATGCCACGCTTGACAGCAGCAGGCACGTGGTGAGCACCGAAGGTCAGCGGTAATTGTCATCAACAGAGCCGCCAACACTCAGCCAGCTCCGGGCCAGCCCTGCCTGCTGCTGGATGTGTCTCATTTGAGTCTCACAACCCAGTCATGGAGGCTTTCCTATTATTTCCACTTTGCAGATGAGGAAATTGTGCCTCAGAGAAATTTGGGGACTGCCAGGGTCTCCCAGGTAGAGAGGGACGATGCTGGGATTCAAACTGGGTCTCTGGTCCCAAAGCCTACCCACGGCCCCAAGCGGCCTCCACCTTCTATGCCTCTCCCCATGACTAGGCTGAGACCCAAGGGACTCAGGGTGGCCTCTGTCTGTCTGCTGGGACCAGGAGGACAATCAGCTGCCGCTGTCCCACCTGTGCCCACATCTCACCATCAGGGCCGGTGCCCCTGCCAGGTTGCCGCCTATTGCAGTGAAGTTAAAGGGCGAGATGGCCGCCACGAAGCCCTGGGGAAGGAGGCAGCAGTGAGGCCAAGCCCACGGCGTTGGGCTGCCCCGTGTGTCCGCCCACTGCCTCCTGCAGGTACCTCCAGACCCCGGTACACCGTGCTGTTGGTGCTCGGGGGCACGCTGATGGGCTGCTGCCCCTCCAGTTCCACCGCATACTTGGCGTTGAACCGGAAGAAGTCGATGAGTTCCGCTGCAGCGTCAATCTCCGCTTGGATCACGGTCTTACCCTGCAAGGCAGAGGGCCAGGGGTCAGGAACAGCTAACAGCCTCCTGTCCATCCTCTTCTCACATCTGACCCTGTGCCCAACGCGAGCACTGAGCCAGGCCCCAGCAGGGACCAGGAAACATTTGGAGGGCTGACCAGGCCCCGTCCCGGGGGCTGAGAGGGAAAGGATTCTGAAGCCCTTGAGCCAGCATCTCCTGCAGCCGGCCCTCTGGGCTGGACGGGGATCAGCAGAATTGACTGATCCTCTGCAGCAGGCCAGGTACTTCCCATGCACTGTCTTCGTTTCATAGCAACTCTGAATGGTGGAGGATGGCAAAGGATCTATGGTCAAGCCTCAGACCAAATTCAGGATCAGAGCCTTCCAGACAGAAGGGCAGACTAGCATGAGCCGGAAACTGGTCACTGGAAAACCAGGACAGAGACTCGGTGTGTGGGAGGCGGATGGTTCCTTCTCCAGGAATGATGTTTGGCCTTGCTGGTTAGTTTGGGCCAAAAACCAAGAGGAGAGTGACTGTGATTCCCTTAAACCGTCCATTGTTACTAACAGTGAATGTGAGCTGCAGGGAAAAAAATTGTGTACAGCCAAGAACAGGGCTTTTCCAGATTGACGTGGCCCCCTCTTGGCACCCAAGGTCACTGGCAGGTGCATGACCTATTACAGACACACAGCCCAGGAAGCTGAGCTAAGATGTGTACCTGGCTTCCTAGAAGTTCCTGAGTCTTAGGCCAAATACAGAGAGAGCCTAAACTGATCCTAGACTGTCTTCCCAGCAATGTGCGGCTCACCGGGAACACGCAGAGCTGGACACCCACCCCAGAGGGCTGCTGAGCCAATCTAAGGAGCCATTCAGCAGGATGAGGGGCTGCCATACCAGCTCTGTGCAGCAGAGGGGGTGCTCACCATGAGGCCGGGGGAGCAGGCGGTGGCAAGCAGCCTGGGTTCTGGCTCCTGCAATTTACCCTTCAGGAACCCAGGTTAGTTGGCAGCGTAGGGCTCAGGTCCTGGAGGTGGTGAAATAAACCTTTCTCTCTCGGCTCCTGTCCCCCACACACTCTGCCTGCTAGAGACACTCCTCCCTCAACTTGCATTTAGCAGGGCGAGAAGCTGTCGTGCCAGCTCTGTGCAGAGAAAACCATTGATCAGGGGCTTGCTATGCCTCGTGAAAGGTATCATGCAAAGACGAGAAAAAGACTGAGAATGTCAAGACATGTTTACTATGTCCAAAAAGCTTGTAAAGAGGCAGTACCTAGGAACTCACTCTACTCCAGTACAATCTGAGCTGTAACTGATGCAGGAACAACATGCTCTGGGGAAACAGAGGCAGGAATAGTCCTTTCGGCTGCAGAAGACTCAGGAAGCCTCACGGAGGGGGTGACATCAGGGCTGGACCAGGAGGTAAGAGTTCACTGAGCATGGAACAGACAGCAAGCATTCCAGGCAGGAGGACACAGTGGGCAGAGGCAGAGAGGATGTCTGCTGTGACCAGGGAGTCCTGCTAAGTCCCAGATGGCTACACCATGGGTGGGACAGCTTGGCAGGGAAGGGCAGGATAGCGGGCGAGCCGGACAGAGGTGGGCAGAAGGGCCCTGGATATGGGGCTCAGGTCTTGGGACTTGCCTCTCAGCGGTGGAGAGGTCTGGGTGGGTCGTAAGCCAGGAGTGACATCCTGGAGGTGTTGGAAAGACCATTCTGGGGCTGAGCAAGCTGGGAGGCAGGGAGACAGTGCAGGCCACCACCAGTCCAGGCAAAGCATGATGAAGCCTAGGAGCGAGGGCAGAGGGATGGAGGACAGGGGACATTTCCGAGGCAGGACACACGGGCTCTGCACAATAACTTGTGATCATCCATCCCAGCTCCTAGGCCTTGTCCCTTGAGGACATCTCTGGGTCCCCAAAAGGGCTTGGGACCCAGAAGCGCTTCAGCTGATGTCTGCTGCCATGGGTGGGGCACGGCTGACTCCCAGCCCACCCCGTTCCACCCACCCAGACCCACCAGCACCTCACCTGTCCCACCATGGTCTTGGCGAGGATCTCAGCCCTGTGAGGCCCACTCAGCATGTCTGCCGCCTTCAGGAAGATCTGGGCTCGGTCTGCAATAGGCTTCAGGTCCCACTCCTTCCGGGCAGCCAGGGCAGCCTCGATGGCTTTGTTGAGCAGGCTCTAAAGGGAGAGGGAGAGGTTGGGGACTGCCGCCTGCAGTGGGAAGGGCCCTGGGGAGTGAGCGAGGGAGGAGAGAGCTGGAAGGCCACTCTCTTCCATCCAGGGACAATGCCTGTCGCCTGGTCCCTCAGCCCCCTGCCATCACAACTGCCAACAGCGTCCCGTCAGAGCCTGTAGCGGTTGGCAGTCTGAAGCCTGAAGGGCCCGGCCAGGTTGGTCAGCTCTCTAAGGCCTTGGCGCTGAGTCCCACAGCTGTTAAACTGGCTCCACTTTCTCTCTGGTCTAATGAAAACCTCACTTTATTCTTGGGACCTGGTGCCCCTGAACCCACCATTCAGAAACTTGAGGTCAACTGGAGCCTGAGACATGGCTCTGCTGCTGGCCTCCAGACCCCAACTGCCCTCATCGCCACACAATGCCAGCTCCTGGACCCCCAGTCACCCCAGCCCCTCGTGCTGGCCCTTTCCAGTGCCAATTCTCGGCCTGGCTTTCCATCGATGGTGTCTCCAATTGCCCTGACTCAGCCTTCCAGAATCCACCTCCTCCCCAGTCCAAGATCTGCCCTACCACGGGCATGTCTGGGAATGTCTCGGCCCTGGCTGAGGCAGCTTGCATTTGGCTCAAGTTAACCTTTGCATGCCTGGCCCAGTCAAAGACATCACCCAGGGACTCCCTCAGTGCCAGCCGCCCCCTGGCCACCTATCTACCATGGCCAAAGAAGGACACAGCAACTGATGCCCACCCCCATATCAGCAGCTGGCAGGGCAGGGCAGGGGCAGCAACCCTAACCCCCCGGTCACCAGCAGCAGGAGCTCACTCACCTTGTCTGCGTAACAGAACTTGGCCACCTTGTGTCCATGGTTAAAAGGCTGAAAGGAGAGAGAAGTGAGGTCCCTGTCCAGGAGGGAGGTGCCAGGATAAGGATGGAGAGGGCCGAGCTCAGAGCTGGTTTTCCAGGAAAGACCTGGACACGGCCTGCTGTCCCCGGCCTGCTCCCATGAAGCCCTCCCCAGTGCCCAGCCCACAGGTTGCTCCCTATTAAGAGTGCTGGTGTACCCACCATACAATGAGTAAGAGTGGCTCCTTCTCCGGAAGGCTCGCCGTCCAGGAGAAAGGCACACACCACAGGTCTTTCTAGGAAAGCACGGACCTTTGTGGTCAGGGAGACATGGGTTCGAATCCTGGCTCTGCCACCTACTAGCTGTGAGGCCCCAGGTAAGCTCGCTTCCTCCCCTAAGTCTCCTCATCTAGGAAATGCGGACTGCCCTCCCTGTCTCTTAGCATGGACAGGAGAACCAAAGGGGATCATGGATGAAAATTCTTTGGTCCAGCATGAGGCTATGACCATGGGCAACATGACCAGGTGAGGTCAAAAAGAACGCACCGGTGTTGTGAAATGCTTGGGACTTCCGCCCTGCCCCAAAGCCATTATGGACAGAGCAATTGCTTCCTAAGCCCCAGATTTACTAATCTAAATAGGAAGATCCTCAACAAACATTTATAAACAGAACCTGGTGTTGGTTCAAACCACACCATTTTGTAAGCTCCCCGCTATTTTGCAGGCCTTGGTCCAAGTAAAACATTTCATGGGAGCTCAGGTCATGAGAAACATCCGGCTCAGCCACCTGTGACCGCAAGGCGGACAAAGGCCCACCTAAAGAAACTTCCCTATCGGCCGGGCACAGTGGCTCACGCCTGCAATCCCAGCATTTTGGGAGGCCGAGGCGGGCGGATCACAAGGTCAGAAGATTGAGACCATCTTGGCTAACACGGTGAAACCCCGTCTCTACTAAAAATACAAAAAATTAGCCGGGCGTGGTGGCGGGCGCCTGTAGTCCCAGTTACTTGGGAGGCTGAGGCGGGAGAATGGCGTGAACCCAGGAGGCAGAGCTTACAGTGAGCCGAGATCTCGCCACTGCACTCCAGCCTGGGCGACAGAGCAAGACTCCGTCTCAAAAAAAAGGAAGAAAAAGAAACATCCCTATCATATCTTGCTGGGTAAAGGTATAAGGAACACCACGATGACATCCCACTGGAGGGGCCCAAACCACCTGATCATAACAACCTCTTATCAATATCCTGCCAGGCAGCAAGCCATACTGCCCAGACCCGTCCACCTATACCGATGAGTACCCCAGCCTGGAAGCAGCGGTGGGCCCTGGCATTAAGCTGGTCCCCCACTTCCTCAGGTTTCTGCAATATACAGTGTTGCTGTCTCAGCTGCCCTCTCTGTGTGTGTGTCTTTCTTTAACCCTTGTCTTCCCTTCAAAACCTAATGCCTGGCAGTGGTGAATGCCAGCACGACCAACAGAGTAGGGAGAAATTTCACTTCTTTCCTTCCCAGGGCTGGCAAGAGAGTTTATATCACAACAGCTAACACTTTTGCTACCTATCCGTCTTCTGGTGAGTTATTGGAGCTTTCCTGTCTCAAACAGTAGCCACGAACCACATTTCACATGCCGGACAACCACACATGGCTCGTGGCCGCTGGAACGGACAATGCAGATCTGGCACATTTCTGCCGTCACTGCAGGAAATTCTATTGGCCAGCACTGGTCTAGGCTTGAGTAGAAAGTGACCATTCTCCTTCATGTTAAACTTTGGCACAGTCACTGTATATTCTGACCCTACCTGAGATTGGCCTGTGATGCTTAGGGGCTGAGAAGGTGGCTGCAACCTGGGCCCCAGTGGACTACAGAGCCCCGTCAGTGCTATGTCCCAGCAAACATAGATCCTGCCCTCACATGCCCCAGTACCCCAAATGTCTGGTGCCACAGTGATCAGCACGTGGCCAGAACCTCCAGCCAGGTCGGCGAGGCAATGTGGGAAATGAAAATCAGCAGTATCCACCCAGGGCCTTATCAGAATGCCGGAGCCTCGCTGCCTGGAAAAATCCCGGCTGCCATGCGGCCTCGGACGCCCGGGGAGCTGCAGGTAAGGGCAGGCTCTAGGCAGTTACAGAGACAACCAGGGAGCTGGGCGGTGGGTGCTGCTGTCAGTTGGCACCTGCACACACACCCAGTGCAGACAGAGTGACCTGGCCAAGGCCTGCAGAGCCCAGGCCACGCTTAGACAGCTCCAGGTAGTCCTGACCCAGCGACAAGAGCTCCAGGACACCTCTGTGGTCAACTGCTGCCCCAGGCTGTCCTGGGAACCTTCAGACTGGGGGACCTGGGTCCTCCCGCTCAGTCATCCCTCCCCCTGCACACATCTGCCCAGGGTTACAGCCGGACAGAGCCAGAATGTGCTTGCCCTGTTTGCAAAAGGCCCGACCTTTTACTCTCCTCCAAATCACAGACCTATGAGTTTCCTGGCCCATGTAAAGTGCCTGCCAGTTTCTGGAAGGATGAACTCCAAGCATGGGGCCTTCTTAGGCCAATGCCATCTGAGGAGCTCTGGGCCTGGGGCCCAGCTTTTTGCCATTAGCTCCCAAATCCCCTTGGCAAGAAATCTATGAGGAATAACAGAAGATGCTGTGTGGACCCCTCATGGCCTTTCTTGCCCAGACACACGGTGCCGCTAGCAGCTGGATGCAGTGTGGGTGCCGTCCTTTGCTTTGGGAAGTTTTACTGGTCCACAGAATTCAAAATCTGGGGTGGGGAGGGGTACTATAAAGGCCTTGAAGTCAGAGCCCACACATTATAAGCTTACGAGCTGTCAGAGAAAGAGGTCACATATTCAGGGGAGGGGCTGAGCCCTGCCCACCGGCTGGACATACCGACACCTGGTACTGCACGTCCGATGTCCACACCTCCTCATCCCCCACCACGCATGGGATGGCTTCCGTCCGGCCCTTCAGGTCCTTCAAGGCCTAGGGAGAGGGACAAGAGCGGGTATGGTCACTGCCTTCCTTGCTTCCTCCCATCTAAAACCCTAACGCAGAGTCCACAGACAGAGAGGCCAAGGCTGACACAGAAATGAGAAGGGGGCCAGGCCGGGTCGGCGGCCATCAGAGAACGTGTGCTCCCCTCGGGGGCAGCCGAACTCTGCTCCAGCCATTGTCACCCTACAGGAAGGTGAAGTCTACCCATGACACAGAGATAAAAAAACTGCACCTGAAACTTATGCGAAGTCTCATGATCTTTAAAATGCTGGCAATTAACTGGAAAACATGTTTCAGTATAAAACAACTGGGCTTATGACATCTGACCTGGCCTGAGAAGCCCCAAAGTAGCTCTAGGCTGCCACGCTGGTCCTCACAGCTGTTCCCACACTCCAGACCCACAGCCCTCCCAGGCTTCCTCCCAAGGCTGGGAGCAAGAGTGGAAGTGGGTGATGGCTGCAGGCACGGAGCACTAGCTCAGGGCTGCTGGGGGCGGCCTCTGCTCCGTGCCCTGTACCTCTCGGGTGCCCCCCACCCTCCCCGTTACCTTTTGCAGGGCCTCTCGCTCAGGGCTGCCCTGCGTGAAGGCTAAGACGGGCTCGTTGGCCACCTTCAGGGAGGAGGTGTGCTTCCACTGCAGCCTGGGACACAAGGGCAGGGGACACAGGCAGAGAGGTCAGCAGTGGCCCCATCACCAGACCCCAGCCCCTCTACCTCCAACAGGGGGTCCTAGGTGGGCACCCAGGGCCTGAAATCCAATGCAACTGGAAAGTAGGGGGTCAAAAACCCACCTTGGCCTGGGCACAGTGGCTCACACCTGTAATCCCAGCACTTTGGGAGACCGAGGTGGGCAAATCACTTGAGGTCAGGAGTTCAAGACCAGCCTGGCCAACATGGTGAAATTCTGTCTCTACTAAAAATACTTAAAACATTAGCAAGGTGTGGTGGCGTGTGTGCCTGTAGTCCCAACTACTCGGGAGGCTGAGGCAGGAGAATCGCTTGAACCCAGGAGGCAGAGGTTGCAGTGAGCCAAGATCATGCCACTGCACTCCAGCCTGGGTGAGAGAGTGAAAAACTCCGTCTCAAAACAAAAACCCACCTTGGGGGTCCACAACCCAAGGTTCAAGTCCCAGTCCCACGGTTGTGTGTCCTTGAGCCTGTGACTTGCCTCCTCTGAGTGTGGTTCTCCATCTATCAAGCAAAAATAATCACACTGAACTCATGTGGTTGTTTGAAGTTTAAACACATAGATGCAAAACCATGTTTAAAGTATTTTTCACATGCAAAGCGTTACTCTCCCTTTCTTCTCCCACAAGGCAGGCTTTATCCCGAAAAGACCCAAATTCCTTCTCTTTCTAAGCTGAAAGGGCAGCACATTCCAGAACACAGTCTCCTCAGAATGTGAACCAGCTGAGATCCTCTTGGCACAAAGGGCTGAGCGCTCCGGGTGGGCAGGAATGTCCAAGATGTGGACCATGAACTTGGAGGGCTGCCCCCAGCTCAGCTCACGACCCGGGAGGGCTGGCCCTGGGGGTGAGGTGCTTGATTCCAGGGCACTGAGTCTCAAGAACTCCTTGCTCAAATCCTCTGACCTCTTTCCACCACCCCCGACCACATCTGAGGATCACAAGGTGGGAGGTTAGGTGGCTCAAAGCTAGGACGCTGGGGTCAGTCATTCCAGAGCTGGAGCCTCAGCTCTGCCACCTCCCAGCTGTGGGACTTCCCCTTCAGGCCTGTTTCCCCCTCTGTAAATGAGAAGAATCATGATGACAAAGTCAGCTAACACCCAAAGGGCACTTGAAATTCACAAACTTCCCATCTACCGTGGCATCGGATGGGTCCCACCAGCCACCTCTCTACAGAAATAAGGTCATTTCGGTCCTAAAAGGAAAATGACTAGTTCAAGATCAAGAGTAGGAGAAACCTGCACTTGAGTCCAGAAGGCCCAGATATCATCTGTCTCGGGTGTCAATGACCCCAGACAACCCAGAACAGCTGGAGGTGCACAGGTGGGGCTCACTGGTCGGCGCAATGAGGGAGAACACACAGCGTGGGGAACCACAGGGCGTCTCAGTAAGATGCTGTTAGGATCCAAACCCCCGTGGGGTTTGGCAGCGTGACTTGAGGAGGGTTTAAGGAAGCTAGGGTGAGCTCTGGATTGGCTGCTGTCAGAAAGTGGGGGTGAGGCTGACTGGGGAAAAAGGAACATTTACCAAGATGTTTGGTGCTTTGTGGGTGGCACAGAGATCTTGTTTTTGTCTGTGCTTAGACAAAAATCATGAAGAGGAGGCCGGGCACGGTGGCTCACACCTGTAATCAAAGCAGTTTGGGAGGCCAAGGTGAGCAGATCACTTGAGGTCAGGAGTTTGAGAGCAGCCTGGCCAATAAACTCCGTCTCTACTAAAAATACAAAAATTAGCTGGGCATGGTGGCCTGTTCCTGTACTCCCAGCTACTTGGGAGGCTGAGGCAGAAGAATCGCTTGAACCTGGGAGGCAGAGGTTGCAGTGAGCTGAGATCATGCCACTGCACTCCAGCCTGGATGACAGAGCGAGATTCCGTCTCAAGGAAAAAAAAAAAAAAATAGGGAAGAGGGCTTATTGTGTCTCATCTGATCATAGTCTCAGAGGGACATGGCCTGAGGCTAGTGTTCTGAGATTGTTTATGCCCTATAGGAGACAGAATGGCCTGGCTATGAGTGTCAGGGGCCAGGAGTCTGGGGCTCAACGATCCAGCCGGGGAGGTCTGAAGGAAGGACACAAAACCAAGGGAGTGTGGCCAGACCCTATGTTCATTCCGCAAGGTTGACTGATGACCTGCCGGGTCTCTGGTGTCATCTCAGACCCTGGAGATAAAGCAGTGACAGAGACAGCAAGGCCTCTGGCTGCACACAGGTGACCTTCAGTGTGAGGCCTGGTCAGGAAATAAGCAAGGTAACTGTCAGGCCTCTGAGCCCAAGCCAAGCCATCGCATCCCCTGTGACTTGCAGGTATACACCCAGATGGCCCGAAGTAACTGAAGAATCACAGAAGAAGTGAAAATGCCCTGCCCCACCTTAACCGATGACATTCCACCACAAAAGAAGTGAAAATGGCCGGTCCTTGTTTTAAGTGATGACATTACCTTGTGAAAGTCCTTTTCCTGGCTCATCCTGACTCCAAAAGCTCCCCCACTGAGCACCGTGTGACCCCCCACTCCTGCCCACCAGAGAACAACCCCCCTTTGACTGTAATTTTCCTTTACCTACCCAAATCCTATAAAACAGCCCCACCCTATCTCCCTTCGCTGACTCTCTTTTCGGACTCAGCCCGCCTGCACCCAGGCGAAATAAACAGCCATGTTGCTCACACAAAGCCTGTTTGGTGGTCTCTTCACACGGACGCGCATGACAGTAACCACAGATGGTGAGCATGGCAATGAGTAAACAACGGGGAGAATAGGGCTGCTTCAGCCACGGTGGTCAGGGAAGGCCTCTCTGAGGAGGTGACCCTGAGCGAGACTTAAAGGAGGCTTGAGAGGAGCTGGGAAGAGCATCCCAGGTAGAAGGAGGCAGAGGGAGGGGCTGAGGGGCCTGCATAGTTGAGGCAGAGGGAGAGGCAGGGGCAGGGGCCAGTCCACCCAAGAACCTGGCAGGTAAAGTGAGTACATGGGACCTTCTCTCCCTCCCCATCCACATCCACCCTGGGCTGGCAGCTCTGCATGCGCCACCCCCACTTTGCCTCCAGCAAAGTGAGCACATAAGACCTTCTCTCCACTCCCCTCCCCTCCCCATCAACCTCCACCCTGAGCCGTAGCTGTGCACCCCCCCACCCCCACTCTGCCTCCCACTAGCTGTGTGACCTTGGGCAAGTCACTTGTCTTGAAGCCAGTTTCCCTCTGTAAAACACTGACACCCCCTCATGGGGTTACTATGGAAATCTGATAACGATAAATACATTAAAACCTGCATTACCCTCTCCCGCCTACTGTCATGGGAAGAATGGAGAGGCAGCCACGAGTCTGCGAGTCTCCACAGTCCCTCGGGAAGGGGCAAGGGAGTGTCAATCCCCTGGGACCATCTGGAAGCTTCTGACAGGGACCTCAGCTAAGCTTCTGACCATGCATTCCAGCAGCGCTCCAGGCCTCAACAGCACCACACCCACCAAAGATGGTGAGCCAGATAGCACCATCAACTCTTTCAGCCGAGAAGTGGAACTCTGTCCCAGTCCCCCTTTGGAGCCCAGGTCCTCGTGGACGGGAAAAGCGCAGGCCCAAGAAGCAGACAAATCTGGAAGCAAAGCTCACACCTGCTCCATGACCTCAGTGCATTCTTAGAAAGTCTGTGAGCCTCAGTTTCCTCACCTGGAAAATGGGGACAATACTACTGAAAAGAGAAAAATAGCTCAGAGCAGTGTGAGCTATGTGAAGTATGCAAAATGTATGAGGCCCCGGGGAGACACAAACACAGACCTGAGTCATGCCCTTTGCATTCACGCCCGGTGGCAATTATTTCAAGGCATTTTGTTTCTGACTAGCTGCCTCATCCATTAATTTTATAATCCTGGAAAGCATCATACAAAGAACAACGCACAGCCAATCAGTAGCTTTTTTTTTTTTGATTCAGAGTCTCATTCTGCAGCCCAGGATGGAGTGCAATGGTGCCATCTCAGCTCACTGCAACCTCCGCCTCCCGGGTTCAAGCAATTCTCCTCCCCCAGCCTCCCAAGTAGCTGGGATTACAGGTGCCCACCACCACACCCAGCTCATTTTTGGTATTTTTAGTAGAGATTGAGTTTCACCAGGTTAGCCAGGCTGGTCTCGAGCTCCTGACCTCAAGTGATCCACCCGCTTTGGCCTCCCAAAGTGCTGGGATTACAGGCGTGAACTTGGCTAGTAGCTTATATTGTTTTAATATAAATTTTTGGTAAATGACTTAGAAACTGCCTTTTTCCCCTGCACCTTAAAAAGCCCACTTGTTACTACAGTTAATCGGAGTGTATATTCAGGGTAGCTTGAATCTATGCTCCCCGGTGGCCATCCTCAACTTCAGAGCCTAAATAAACTCTACTTAATCCTACTTTCTGAATCTCACTATTTAAGGTTGATGCGATGCACCTTGCAGGGTCATCAGGAGGATTAAAAGTGTTGGCCTTTCCTTACCCCTCCCGCTCTTGCTTTCCAAAGAAAATTCTAAAGGTCTCAGAATGCTATGTCACATGGGCTCCCAGACGCCCCCAAAAATCACAGCCTCAGGGGCTGGCCCAGGTACTCAGCAACTACTGGAGGAATACACAGCACCATATTCCATTCCCAGGTTAAAACGTAGTAGGCAGGTTGCAGTGGTTCATGCTTGTAATCCCAGCACTTTGGGAGGCCGAGGTGGGCAGATCGCTTGAGGTCAGGAGCTCGAGACCAGTCTAGCCAACGTGGTGAAACCCCATCTGTACTAAAAACACACACACACACACAAAACTAGCCAGATGTGGTGGCGCACACCTATACATCCAGCTACTCAGGAGGCTGAGGCAGGAGAATCACTAGAATCTGGGAGGTAGAGGTAGCAGTGAGCCCGATCATGCCACTGCACTCCAGCCTGGGCAACAGAGCAAGACTCCGTCTCAAAATAAATGAATGAATGAATGAATGAATGAATGTAGTAGCAG